GAGAAATTTCTAACAAATTTCTCAAGAAATTTCTCCGTCTATGGGAACCCCATTATATCCTATGTAAATCGTTCTTGACGTTATATATGACCGTACCCCCTATTTGGTCCTATTTTATAGTATTTATTACTTATAGTTAGTTTGTAATTGTTAAACAAATATTTATACTTAAATTGTGCAATATATTTTTTAATTTGTAGTTTATATAATAGATATAGTTTAATAAATATAAACACTTATACACAATTACAAAAGTTTAACTATGAATAAATTGTTTATTTGCTATAATTGACTACTGTTAAAAGTATATACAAAATGATTCATTAAATAATAGTTTAATAAACAATTAGATTATTTAATTAATAACAAATTAATTGTGTAAATATATAATTATTATTTTATAAATAATAGTTAATTGATTTTATGTTCAAAATAGTATTTTGTTGGCATTTCAAGCTTTCAAGGCACAATGTCTATGGGAACCCCACAGTAAACTATGGACTTTTTTTTAATAAACATGTTTTTTATTGTCATGTTGATTTCACAATTAATTAAGACTTTTTTTTGTGTTTATTTAAATGAAACTAATCTTATGGTCATGTTAAACATCCTAGACACTCTATTTTACTTCTAATTATGGCTTTATTTTATTTTTAAAATCGCATAATTTGGTATCCTATGGGAACCCCACGTAATCCAATGTGTTTTATTATAGTACACACGAATATACAAAGGCCTCACATAAATTACATGGGTTAATTGTTACGTTATTTTTTGGGTCTTTCTATGGTATTAGAGCAAATTTTATGTATTTTTGTGTGTTTTATCATTTCAGTGCATGCATTATTAGTGAATAAACACACATTTAATTGAACATATTTTGTTTTTAAGTATATTAACTTAATTATTCAATGTTTTAATTAAATTTCTCGGAGAAATTTGCTCACGAGAAATTTCTAGAAATTTCTACCGAGAAATTTCTAAGAAATTTCTTTTGGGCCAACACTAGCGTAGAGGTTGTCGAAGGATAGTTTGTTACCATAATGTTTGACAATGTCTTTCTTCCTCAAGAGCCACACCCGATGTGCGCGTAAAACATGCCTCGACTCGGATTCTTGGGGTCCGGTTCCCCATCCGTCCACTTATGGTGTGTCCGGTGGTCGCGAGCGTAGGCCAGAGCACTGCCGTTCAATGTTGTCGTTTGCAGTGTAAGTAGAAATAGTATTTGAATGAGTTATCAGCCTCTAGTCTATGCCCTCGTATAAGTTATCTTATAAGATAATATACAATTTAATATATTAATAAATTAGACAAATTTTGAAAAAGTTAAAAAAATTTTATTATAATTTTATTGTGAAGATATACCAAAAAATATTACCAGAACCGAGAAAAATAGGCAAAAGGATAAAAATTATTTACCCAACAATACAATAAAAAATTTGAGACTATTTGCTTATTATAAACAAATTAAAAAAATTATAATAATAAAACAAATTGAAATAACTTTATATAATTATACGTTATGTTCAGTATAATATACAAACAAAGTTGCTGCAGCATTTAATTAAGCGCAGCCAAAACTTTTTCATTCATTTCGGCGTTCATTTGATCCAAATTAGGAATACTGTTGATTATCGACACCTCTATATTGTCGTTGCCATCGTTACCATCCTGGGCATCATGGTCAAATTAAATATAATAGTTATGATTTGGAGAGAGAGAGAGAGA